AATTTGCTTATATTGGTATTATTCTTTTAACTTTCAAGTGTCAATAGAATTTACTAGTCTTGTCTATGAGAGGCCATTTGTGTAAGTTAAACCTACGGTATTCCGATCACAATTCAATAACCTTATTATTACATAAAGACCATCTTTTTTTCAAATAAAATACGGAAAAAATTAACAGTGATGCCCACAAAATGCCCAAGTTGAGAAATGTCATCTCTATGGTTGGGGCACTTATAAATATGGATGGATGAAAACAGTGTACTGTGGCTGGCTTGGCTTGTCGACGATTGTAGTGCGGAAACGCGACCGCGGTTAATCCCATGAAGAGTGCAAGCAAATGGCAAAAACACTGGGGCTCCTAAATGCAGCTGATTTTTCAGTACTGAGCTGATGGCTGTCATGTGCCAATGTTTTTACAAAACTGCCAAAGTTAACTTTAAATATAGGTCAAGTGGTAACATAAATTTGAATCTTGACAACTTGTTGTCCCGACGCCGTGAATGGTCTATTTTTTACCGGATCGGAGAAGAAATTAGTTAAGATACGTATAAACTAACCCGAACATCCTTGATCATTGAACAAAAAAAAATTAAAACTGTCAAAGGTTACATAGGAGCAGCATTAGACATGAGTGCAAAGAAACTGCACAAGAATCGTAGGATTTCAGTTGATGAACATGACCTACATCTGATAGCATCAAAATTCAACCACAGAAGCAGATAGTGTGACATTTCCTCCCTCTCCTTTTTCCTGCTCAACCCAGAATTATAAAACAGAAACAATCGGGACCCGGGAATTCTGAAAAGCAGAGCAGTTGGTTTAATATTTAAGGAGATAAAGGTGGCCGGGCAAGGGCAAGTAACCACAAGATCAGTTCCTTTTGTCCACAGTAAAACCCACAAATAATAGCTCTGCCTCTATAAAATAACCTTGCAGAAGATGACATATGGACTAAACCNATCAGTTCCTTTTGTCCACAGTAAAACCCACAAATAATAGCTCTGCCTCTATAAAATAACCTTGCAGAAGATGACATATGGACTAAACCCAAAATTGCCAAGATCTGAACCCATGATGCAAAAATTAAAAGTTTCCACGATATATGCACGATGAAATGTCACCACAAAACTCATTCCAAGTAAAAGTTTCCATACTTGCAAATCTAAACTATCTAACAAGAAATCTCAAATATATACAAGACTAAAAGGTCATTCCAACTGTTAGATGCCCAAACATCTTACAGAAGAACTCCGTATTACCTGAGGTAATAATTTCTCATTACCAGGGAAACAATTTTTTTTTTTCTCTTTTCTCCTTTTTATCACCTTTTCAAGCTTAAACTCAGGCATAACCTGATTTCACATACCGTCGGAAACATAGAAATCAAACGTGACATCAACAGAACCAGAACTTTCCCCAGTATCTTTGTACTCAATATTTGTTATTGTTCCAAATTCATCCTCATCTTGATATTCTGGTCTCACCCGCCGCACAGGCACTGTGACAGAGTAAACAGTTCCGAGACCTGGATCTGTAGAGACACTCAGTTGAACTTTATCTTGCGATTCTATCTCCACAAAATCTGATAGGGCTCTCACGATGTTGCTCACTATCTTCTGTTTCGCCTCATCACTAACGGCACATCGGTCTGAAAAGAGAATCATCTTCAACCGTTGCTTGGCAATCTTTGCATTTGAGTTCCTTCTTGAAGTAGGTGACGGGAACATGATCTTCCAAGCCAAGTTCAAACGCTCAAAGAAGCTCATGTTAATGGCATCAAGAAGGAAGCTCTCAGCTTCCTGGCTAATGGAATTTGTGGACAGCTTGTATGCTGCAGTGATCCCAAGAGGTCGTTTAGAATGGCAGTGCATGCTATTGCTATCCAATACTGCACGGGACCATTTGGGCATGACATCGGAACCACTGGATCCTCCATTAAGGGAAAGAATATAATCCAACTGTAATGTAGCACAAAACCCTCATACTTAGATGATGTATAATATAACCAATACAAGTTAGACTCTCTACCTTTTATTTTGACAAAACATCTGAACATATAGTACACATGTTGGTGACTAATCTGCGTGAGTGTAGTGGGTGTGTGTAGGAGAATAAAATATTTCAGTATTCTAAGCTATTCTGTCAGTGTCTATGCAACGTGAACATAAGCATATAATATATATCATCTCTTCTTAGGAAATCGGCTGCATGGAGTGGCAAGTAGGTGAAAATTAAATAACAAAAGAGCCCACTTGCATGGGCAGAAGGGAAAAGGGGACCTATTGATGGAAACATAAATGATACGTCAATTGCTGAAAAGGGAAGAAAATTGAGCTATAAAAACCATNAGAGCCCACTTGCATGGGCAGAAGGGAAAAGGGGACCTATTGATGGCAACATAAATGATACGTCAATTGCTGAAAAGGGAAGAAAATTGAGCTATAAAAACCATTTGAATTGAATAGTGCATCATACCATGTTACATCACTAGATACACAATATTCAATAAACCCATCTCCTTTACCCACACCTAAAAACATATAAAATCTCAAAAAACCAAACACAACAATTTTAAAACATGAGCCGAAACAAGAACAAACCGATGACAACAAGCATAGGAAAAATGATAATACATCCAATTCTACCATATTCTACTAAGCATGACTATTTGTAGGAAATCACGGAATGGAAAAATTTGTGAATCAGATAAATAGATTTTAGTATGAGAGGGAGTGACAGTTATTCTNAATTAGCCGAAACAAGAACAAACCGGTGACAACAAGCATAGGAAAAATGATAATACATCCAATTCTACTATATTCTACTAAGCATGACTATTTGTAGGAAATCACGGAATGGAAAAATTTGTGAATCAGATAAATAGATTTTAGTATGAGAGGGAGTGACAGTTATTCTTCCCTTACTTCCCCTCTTTACTTTCTATGGCCACCAAAGAAGAGAAATGATTTCCTTTACTTTTGTTTTTCCTTTCTCCCAGTATACTCATGAACCAAACAGACCGCCCGGGAACAGTGGAAGGTGACTGATTCACAAAGCATTTTATTCCCGACTATAACAAGGTTCAATGAGCAAGCAATCAATAATTGGAGTCACATTTTTATACATGTAGAAGATTCACAAAAATAATAATAATAATAATAATTTAATTCCCAAATCAGCCGGGCAAGCCTCGACATCTAAACCTACTGAACTGGATAACTTCTCATAGCTTCCAAGATATTGTACAGTCTCGTTTTTCACGCAATCATTCAAATGACTCCTGAAGTCAAAACTAATAAAAAAAAAATATAAGGAATTCGATCATTTGAACTCTAGTTACAATAAATTGTAACAACTACCACAACACTAAATTCAACATTCTCAAAACTAACATCTGAATTCGTACAAGGATCATGTACGTATCACATTTGCACCAATAATAATCTAAAATCCTAGTTTATTCGTGTGAAGATACTATCTTCGATTTCAAGCCTACGAACCCGACAAGAAAAGAAATCATGAACAAGAAAGACACATACTGACATTAACATAATGGACTTCACAGACTAACCCCCAACCCCCAACTACCACCACATAAAAANGTATCACATTTGCACCAATAATAATCTAAAATCCTAGTTTATTCGTGTGAAGATATTATCTTCGATTTCAAGCCTACGAACCCGACAAGAAAAGAAATCATGAACAAGAAAGACACATACTGACATTAACATAATGGACTTCACAGACTAACCCCCAACCCCCAACTACCACCACATAAAAACAACTCAAATTGCGCGAAATGAAACACGAATAGGATTTACCTAAGTCTATAACGATCTATTTACCAAAGTTCATAGCGTTGACTAATAAATATGAACATAAACACGCAGATTAGCGACTAATAAACCAAATCAAGAGAAACCCAGACCTTAAAACTTAGAATAATAACATGAAGAAACCCAGATATAGTGATTATAGGTTATGAAAATGAGAACTAGAAAACTAAAAATGGGGAAGAGTTTGAACCTTGGAAGGAGGCGAACAGCTTCGAAGAGGGTTCATAGGATAAGGAACCAACGCAGCAGATACTCTGAAATCTCCAGAAATCGCCATTTTTGGTTCTCTTTCTTCTCTCAATCTAGGGTTTCGATCACTCGATTTTTACTCTCACAGCTGTCAGTTAGGTTTGTTGCTGGGACTTTCAGGTGGTTGACAGCGACAGCAGCAGTACGAACTGGTGCTTCCAACGACGTCGTCTCAATATCCTATCCAATGCATATTTGGGTTGTCGGGTAGTTGGAATGGAGACCAATTTATCCGGCCCATTTTACAATTACCAAGTAAATTCGCTCTGTATTCAACTTGACCCAACGGGTGACTTAGGGCTCCTAATCGAATTAATCTTTATGTTTATTTATATAAATTTTAAAAATTATTTAAATTTAACTCGTTTAAAAAAAATTTAAAATTTAAACGAATTGAATTTTACGAGTTCGAATCGACCTAACAAATTAAATTCGAGTTTACTCTCGTTAAGTTCATTATTATGGGATTCACTGTCAAAGACAATGACTTTTGATTAGATATAGTGTAGGATACAAAGAGTGATATTATGATTTAAAAAAAAAAATAGTTTGAACTTCGCGTCTTAAAAAATACATGGGGTTTATTGACAAATTAAGTACAGAGTTTATAGTTTACAAGGATTCCCACATTTAGAAAAGGAAAATTCATAAGTGTGCTTGGTTAAAGTGAAAAATAATAATAAAGAGGGGATGCAAGTGTAAATAATAAAAGAGGGGAAGCTACTAAACTTTATTGTCAAGAAATTATTTTCCTGTCTCTCTCCTTCCTTTCCACTCCGTAAAAAAAAGAAAACCCGCAGAGTGTTTCTGTGTATTTCTAAACGATAATACGATATTAACACCCTCGTGAGTTCCTCGTCTTTTACCATGTTTTTGTCCTTTTCAATGGCTAACCTACACCACGAAGAATTGCTTCCATGAACATAGCTTCCTTTCCCAAACCCTCTGCACCGAGAAGAAGGTGGGTTGCAACCCATCTCCCCAGCAGGCCATCACAACCAGAGACTTGAACAAGTCAATCAATTGGCTGGGAACAAAACAAATCTGAATAAAAATAGACAGCCAAACACAACCCAATCAAGAAGAGAAGAGTCCGGTGAATGGGGAGATGGAGAGCTTCTCCTCTCCTTTTACGCTTCGCCTCCATTTCTAAATGCATTAACCCGAATCCTAACGGTTTTCGGCCTATCAAACCCATTCATCTTTCACTTGCTTTAATACCCAGAACTAGATTTTGTAGTTTCAGGGCATTCTCGGCACTCCCATCTCCATCCCCAATCTATGACAATGAATTCGATCTCAGTGCCAATGATTTTGTTCAGAGTTCCGTTTTGGACTCCGAGGAAGAAGAGGAAAGTGGAAAGATCCCAGTCAAAGCTTTTTTTCTTTGCACCAGGTTCTCTTATTCATCCTGTTCAATCATTTGTATATGTATATACACTAGCATACATGTAAACTGCATTTAAAGGTTGGGTTTTTTGGTATCATGGTATGTGGGATTGTTTCCTGTTCACAGAAAAAAAGGGTATGTGGGGTTGGTTTGTGTTGGTTGTGATTTTGTATGAGTAGCTATTATGCATTTATGCTATTGTTGTGGGATTCCTGTATGTTTGCTTAATTTGGTGGCAATGTTGATGTGAATTACAACTGATACTTCCTGGGATTGTAGAGTATAAGCTTTTGTTCTGTGATTACTAATGATATAAGCAGTATACCGTTTGCTGTCCTTTTGGTTGCATGAAATCTGAGATGTATAATCAGTGTTCCGGTGAAAATGAGGAGGTTTAACATTAAGTCAATGACCTTTTAAAATCAATCTTTGGCCCTGATGCGCGGTTAGCAACCGTTAATAGCTGGATATGCAGCACAACCAATGTCACTAACCTTCTTTGATTTTAAACAATTAAGCAGCTTTATTTAGTTATTCCTAAATGGTCACACAGCTCTTGGCCCCATCAAAGAATTTTTTTTCAAATTGCTGACGTCTAGTTTGATAAATGACAAACAACATGTTCACTTAGAAGCAAAATTTTATTGTTCCATATATTGTATGATTTTGGGCATACATTCCGATAGTGCAGTCTTGTAGGCGTTTGTTTTTCACAAGTTCCCAATTTACATGACAGTGCCTAAGTAGCAACTGTACTTTTTAATACAGTACTAGCATGTGATCTTCTCTGCGTGTTCTACATTTTAGGATTCACGCATCTCTATTGCTGTTTTTTGTTCTTTATGTTTTGGTTTTTGCAATTCGGTTTTGGCAGTATTGATTTGAAGAGCATGCAAGCTGAGAATTCAAGCAATGTTCTTCCTGTCTCTCGCTCATCAAACTATATTGCTCTCAGATTTTTCAATTTCCCTTCAGAAACTACAGTAAGAAAATTCAATAATAAAAACATCATCTTTTATCCTGTTTCTTCCCAGTTCTTTCTATTTTCTTCTTACCTGCCGCTTGGTACTGTTTATATTGCTTTTTGGAATGCTTTTGCAATTTTAAAATGACATAGGGGAGATACTGGGTCAGTTGGGTAGAAGTTATGTAGATTTTTGGATTGAAGTTTGGGCGTGTGCTACAAATCATTGAGGATCTTCACTGGGTGGTTTTGGAAGAAAGAAAAAAAGATATTGTGCTTGGGTTAAGACCCTAGTTTCAATCAAAGTACGAAAGATTTTTTATTTTGCATTGGAATGTTATAATGTTTTTTTGTTATTATTTGGTCACTAAATGTGTCAATTCAGTAGGCCTTTTGATCAAATGGAACCCTTGGTTTCAGGGTATCAGAGTTGAAGGGAATCCAAGCTGCCATCGTTACATGGTTGTATTCCAGTATGGATCAGCTGTCTTGTTCAACATGGAGGATCATGAAGTTGAATCATACCTGCAAATTGTTAGAAGACACGCTTCTGGATTGCTCTCAGAAATGAAGAAAGATGGTTCGTTCTTTTGAATCTTATTCTTTTCCGAAGATCTACTAACAATAAGTTTGACTTCATTATGCCCCTTTAATCTGTATTTATATGTCTTTCATATGTCAAGGCATGTGTGCAGTATGTGTTGGGTTAGGCTTCTTGCTGAGAAAGTTAATGCTAATTGTAGGCACATTTATTCTAACTGCCCATTTGATATTAATAAGATATCTCCCTTGCAATTCAGTTCGTTATGGTCAAAAGAAAATCAATTAGAAAATGCCCTGTCAAGGTGTAGTACAACATATTTTATGTAGGAAAAATACTACGTCAATATGATCTATGTTGTCAGACCTACTAGTGCATATTATTATGTTTTTCTCTTGGGAGATGTGAGGATAGATGACAAGAGTTGAACCCATATAGGTCCACTTATTTCATCACTTCAAACTTTTGTGATCAACTACATTTACTTAGTTTTCCACTTATTGCGTGACTTGTCTTTTACCACAATGGTGTGTGAGGTATAAAGGGGAATGTAAGAGTGTTGATCATTTGTTCTTACATTATCGTATGGCTCTATCTCTTTCAAACAAATTATTTGACTTTGTTGGCCTTTGTTAGGTGTCTCCGAGATCAATGTCATCTATATTTTGTTTAGATTTTAATGAGTTGGGAGGAAATAGAAAAGGAAAGACCCTTTAGTATTGTGACTTTTTTGTTCCTAGTAGTTTGTTAGTGAAGATGAGTTGTTTGGGTAGAGGAGCATGGATTGAATATCATAATCTCTCCAAACAGTTTAGAAGATTCCTTTTCTTCCATGCCAATCGGTTTCCTTTAACCTGTTGTAGAAATATGCAGCTCAAGAAAAGAAAGACTTCTATTCTTGTGAATTAGAAAGCACTGAGAAAACTTATACATAGAACTTGCTATCTTTTTTTTTTTATTTTTTTTATTTCAAGGTTAGAAAAGAAATGAGTTAGAGATGAGATAGAGTATTCATCATCGTCTCTCGTAACTAACGAACAATAGAAATTCGCACATTTTGGATGGGAATTCAAAAAAAGGCTTGGAGAGCCTTGCATTAGATTGGATGAGTTCTTCAATTTGAAAAGTGCTATTTGAGTTGTATGGAAGGAGAGGAATGCAAGAATCTTTGATAAAAAGTGGGAGGAGTTTGAGTGGTTATGGGATTAGATTTGTGACACCCTAAAGTTCGGGTGTCTGTAATTATCCAATTGGTTATCCATCGACCTGTGTAATACTGGTGGATATCGTGTAATTTGATACCACACCGTTATGCCCCATTTCTTGGGATCCATAACTTAACAAAATTTGGACAGAGTCTCCTTTGTACAAGGAGCTCTACTCAAAACGCAACCTGTACAACATTGACCACACCGGGTCTATCTATCCATTCACAATTATATAGTCTCGAATACTACCATAATCATTATCAGTACATACATTTATTCGTAAAAGAATAAATGTCCCAAAAGAGTCCCATATACATGCCTTTGTAAATATAAACAATGTTTGTTACAAAAATTATACAAGGCCAAAAGTAAGTATAAACAAGGGACTACAATGTCAAAATAAAAGCCACAGACCGGCTCTGTCGTCAAAGCGGGCCCATGGCCTCGCCTTCGGTGGAAGCCTGTGCGATACCTGAAAAATGTTCCCATAAAGGGTGAGCCAACGCTCAATAGGGTAACTCCTATAGAGAATACCTCTCAACCTAAATGAATATGGAATGTCACATGCAACAATCATTTGATACATTCATTTAAATATGTCTATTATGATTGAATGTTATAGATCATGTCATGCCATGAGATGAGACTCACGCAAGCAATACCAACCCCGAGCCCCATCCTGAGCTCCCATAACACATGCAATGTCATGCGTATGTATCCGAACATTCCAAACCCCCATCATTAGTGTTATGTACACTCAATGCTAATTCATTCATTTTCTTGTGTCTTTGTGGGGAGATGATTTATGGTATTACACCAATGGGACACCAACCATCAACGGATCTTCAGGACATCCCACCTGCGGCTCCGTTTCCGCCGTTACACTTTTTTGGAATTTCACCGCCGGAAAGTGTATAAACCAAGTAAGCGGGTCTTGCACCCGAGGGAGAATCTAGCCCTTCGTGCTGTCCCCAACACATTTATCCATTTAATTTCTCGTGCGACTCAACCGAACCTTGGTGCGACTTTTCCGAGTCCACGTTCAACCACCTACGTGGTGATTGATTTCATACCATGCATACACTCTCACCCATGTCAATGCCCATGAATGTAGTGCAACCCATGCATAATGAAATACAATGT